TAGATAGATAGATAGATAGATAGATAGATAGATAGATAGATAGATAGATAGATAGATAGATAGATAGATAGATAGGATTCAATTTTAGAAGCCTTTTATATGGGCTTTTTCCCATTTCCATGCCTCTGACCTACTTTGATGGAAAATTTTGTAGGCACTCTCTATATAAATTAATCATAAGATACATATATAATATATTTAATATAGATATAGGTATTGTATAAGAGATTAGCACAGTATCCAAGATTTTCTTTGTAAAGCAGATCTTTATTTTAAGAATAATAAATCCTCTCATTCGGTAAAGGAAGATAAACTTCATATCTTGTTTGTGATCTTTCTCATCCCTAACAGCTGTCTTTATAGTTGAGAAGTTCTGAGTGAATATGAATATTCAGTTTCTCACTAAACATGAGAAACCAGTCCTGGGATTAAACAGATTTGCTTCTGTGACATTTAGTGTAACCCTAAGAGGCAGAACAATTCGGTGTCTTAAGATATAATTTGAAATAAAATAAAAATAACACATCTGTTGATCAACTGATAATCCCATTAAAGAATTGATATTTACTTTAAAATGTACATTCCTTACATTTGCTGATCAATCTGATTTAAAAATTCACACAATTGCAGTTCCAGTTCAGGGAAGAATAGAAGGAGGATTTAGATATTGTTGCCTGAAAATATATGAGTAGGTGTTTTTCTAAATATTGTAATTTGACAGTTTTATAGTGATTTGATATTTTAAAAGATTGGGGGATTTAAAGTCATATATTTCAGATCTATTTTGAAAGTAACTTAATATTTAGGTTCATTTTTAAAAAGCACTTTTTTTTAAACAGGGTGAAAGTCCAGGAAGCAACCAAAGGTATGAATTTATATTTATAGTATGTATTGATTTGCTTTACTTTCGCTCTCTCATGTATGCTCCTTACTTCATTCTTTTTAATCATCTACTTTTTCAATTTAATTCATTTCAGCAAATTGACATTTTTGAAATCAAAAATACTGATTTGATTGTAATGTTAGTTCTTTAAAGAAGATATATTTAATAGAAAGTTATTTTTAATCACTGGAATATCATTTGTAAGACAAGTTCAGCTAGCTATGGTCCTGGAAAGTTTCTTCTTCATGGGTCTACAGAAAAGCATAAGATGGTTATCTCTAACTAATAAGGAAGACTTTCTGACTTTAACAGAAAATGTCTAATTGTGAAATTCTTGATGTTAAGATAAAGTATGAAATGGATATATTAGATTTCAGAAAAGTAGTTTAACCTATTGAATTGTTCCATAAGAACAGTAATCAGTAACTCCTCATTAAAGTAAACTGAGGTATACAGTCCTTGTCTTAATGCTCTTCAACATATTCATTAATGATTTTCATGAAGAGGTGAAGAACACTATCAGTCACACAAAAGGTCACAATGTGTCTTATCTTATTGAACGCTTCAAAGAGCCGAGGTGACACAGTGGTTACAGTGCAGTACTGCAGGCTACTTCAGAATAGAATAAAATTCTTTATTTGCCAAGTATGATTGGACACACAAGGAATTTGTTTGCATATGCTCTCAGTGTACATAAAGAAAAATAAAATAGAATACATTCATCAAGAATCATAAGATAATAACATTTAGTGATAGTCATAGGTTACTAATAAGCAGCTGACTGCTAGCTGCAGTTCAAATCTCACCAGGCTCAAGGTTGACTCAGCCTTCCATCCTTCCGAGGAGGGTAAAATGAGGACCCAGATTGTTGGGGGCAATATGCTGACTCTAAACCGCTAAGAGAACGCTGTAAAGCACCATGAAGCAGTATATAAATCTAAGTGTTATTACTATTGTTATCTCAAAAGGAGACTGATTCCCACTGAATGTTTGGGAAAACTTGCTAACAAGAAATTGGAACTAATTACTAAGGAAGATGGTAAATATAGATGTGCAGCATGGGGCAATTCAGCTGTGATACCTTTTACTTTTCTTTTGAAACATATTTTTCTCCTTCACAAACATCCAAACATTCTGGAGTTGGTTTATGCATATTGTCCAGAACAGATAGTGATTTGTGGTGCTGGACATGATCCAATCCCAACCATTCCATTTTGGTTTGTGGTGAATTCCTTTCATTGGATGAGTTAATGTGATTGCTCGGCCCTACTTTAATTTAGAGTCCCACAGTGGAAAGAGTGGTGAATTGGATAAAAGAACATGGATCACAGTCAATTTAGTAAAAGATACCACAAAAAGGAATTGCACTATATAAAAGCAATTGTATACTATATGTTTTTTAAAAATTATTTAAAATGCTAACTACTTGTGAAGCCTTTTCTGTTTCAGTATAATTTGAGTTATAAGATGTAAAACTGAAATATAAGCAAAATATATTCCAAACTTCACTTCTCTATTTGATGTGAGGTTGAATTTGGCTCTTGTTGGGATTTTTTTTTTTAATTGACTGCAGCAATAGCACTTAGACTTATATATTGCTTCACAATGCTTCACAGCCCTCTCTAAGCAGTTTACAGAGTCAGCATATTGCCCTCAGCAATTTGGCTTCTCATTTTCCTGACCTCAAAGGGATGGATGGCTGAGTCAACCTTGAACCTGTGAGAATCAAATTCCTGGCAGTCAGAATAATTAGTCTGCAATACTGCCTTCCAATCACAGCACCGCCATGGCTCCTATAATGACTACTTGGCTCAGAAATGATGCCTCAGTACAGATTTGCATTTCGACACATTCTTAGCCTTCTAATTCTTAAACACTGAAACTGACATTCTTCCTCAGGCAATCAGAATGACAGGCATGGCACTCTTTCTTTTTTTTTCTTCAGACCCCTGACTGAAGAAGAAATTTCTGCTCTTCAAGAAAGGCAGTATAATTCCATTGCTGATAAACAGAGAACTTTAGATGACAAGCTTCAATCAGAGGTAAGCATAATAACTCTTTGTGCATGGACATATAATTTGTATTAGCATATAAATAATGTATTTTCATAATTGGAGGTGGAAACTTTGTGAGTGAAACATCCAATGTGGATACTGTAAAATTGAATTTAAAGGGACCAAGCGAGTAAGGAAAAATACCAAGCAGAAATGTCATGAATGAAAGTAAATTCATAGGGAAATGGTTTAGATAAATGTTACTAAAATTTAGTATAAAAGGAGCAGTTAGGTATTAGCTTGGAGTGCTAGATAAATGTTGGTACAGAGAGGACAAAATATTTGTGCAGTCATTTCTTATTCAAAGGCCCAGTAGACAAAATCATTTCAAGCTTCCCAAAATTCTGGTTTAACTCCTGAGTATTTTGTGTGACCCTCTCCTCATGCTCCACTTGATCTGCATTGAAAGCTTCAAACTTTGGACCCAGATTTAAAATCAGTGCTTTCTGAAGTCTGGAATAATTGTCTAAATTGGGTAGTATCTTCAAATAGCAGCATTGTATTTTTTTTCTGTGAAGAGAAACGCTAGAAAGGTTCTGAGGCTATCATCCTATGGAGATATATCAGGTACCTGCCTTAATATTGTTTTCCCATTCTGTAACATTTGTTGTTATTTTCAGCTAATTTTCTATCAATAAATTTTATTTTTTATGAAATACTTTATTGATTATTGCTACTTAATTGTTTGCTTTAAACTACTATAATGTATCCAGAAAATTTTTAGTTAATCAGTAATTTAGAAATGTATTAAGAAAACAGGAGAGCATGGTAATAGCATAGGCCACCATGAAAAAGATTGTACATGTCCATTTCAGTACAACTCTGAAAGATAGAAATAAGATCAATAATCAATTGTTTATCCTTTATTATAAAATTACTTGGCATGGGAAAACAGTTAATAGAAGACACCTTGCTGCTATTCTGCTTTACAGTAATAATACTATAAACACAGGGGGAAATGCAAAAATTTGTCCTTTGGGTAGTTGAAGTACTGAAAATGTGTTGTGTAACAAAAATATTTCTCATTATTTGTCTTGTGCATGCTGTGTAATTTAATCTGGTATGATTTCTTCCCTTATGTTGCAGTTAGAACTCTAGATCTATGAATGTAGATAGAAGCATAAAAATGTGTCAAAATAGGTAATTCCAACAGTAAATAACTGTGCTTTCTGTTGATATCATGCATATGAAGGCACTCAAGTTTGAAAATAGTTGCCTCAGGCTCAGAGCAACTGCTTCAATTTAAACCAAGCAACTTGTTTGCTTCATGGATAAATGTTTGTTGCTGCCTGAATACAGGCTCAACTCTGTTACTTTTAGAATGGAAGTAATTATTACTTCTTTATCAATATTTATTCTTTATCAGTATTGAAGGACAATTTTTGGTCTTCTACTTTGACATAAGTTAATACCGTTAAATAACATGCTTTAAATGTCTGCCCCACAGCTCACATAAAAAGGTATAATAGAATAAGGCATTACTAACTAAACTAAAAAAAAAAATTAAAATAGCATGCATAGTACAATTAAAAGTTTTGTTAAATATGGAAATACTTTATTTTAAAATACTAGTATATTTTATGTTTTAGATTTTTTATAAGTACCTTTACTTTAAATTTAGTGCACTTGCTTTCATAGGAGAGATAGCTAGGTTTTCTTTTGTTAACCATTATTATTTTGTTCATATACAGTTAGCCATACAAGAGGAGAAGTTAAGAATAGAAGAGGAGACTTTATATGCTGTGCAGCGTGAAAGAGCCAGGGCAGCAAAACAAAGAAAGTTCTTGGAGGTGAGGGGAAAAGACCCCAAAATATATGTATTAGAGTGTCTATTTATATCTTCCTCTTAGTTTCATGTGCTTTTTAAAACAACATTCAGCATTAACACTGGTTTGTAGCAGTTTCTATATTTTTTTTCTAGTCTCTCACTAGATGCTGGCTATAATAACTAAGCCAATTTTTTTTTACAATTATGGTTCATACTATGTAGACAAGTTGCTAATGCTCTCTGATTTGCAGTTTTTTTCTTTTGGCTAATAAAAATTGCTGAACAGACAAAGGAATCCTGTCTATGGTTTGTCTAATGTACTTTATTTTTCGGAGAATAAGACGTTCCTTTTTCCCTCAAAAAAGAGGGTGAAAATCTGGCTGCATCTTATACACTGAATTCAGCATTTTTGTCCTCCCAACCCCCCGCCCCCTTCACCAAAATGGCTGTGCATAGCCTTTAGGAGGCTTCCAGAGTATTCCTGGGGGCTGGGGAGGGCAAAAACAAGCAAAAAACGGGCTGTTTTTTGCTCGCTTTTGCCCCCTCCAGCCCCCACGAGCACACTAGAAGCCTCCTAAAGGGCCATGCATGCCCTTTTTTGGGAAGGTCTGCAGAGTGCAAAACCTTTTTTAAAAAATTTGCTTCTTCAAAATCTTGGTGCGTCTTATACTCTAAAAAATACGGTAACATGTACACCAATATCCTTGTCTTCTTCCTATTTTAAACTCCAGCATTTACTGGCTTTAACTTGTGGATAAATCATAATATTTCAGTGTATATTTGCACATAAAGCTCTTCCGCAGAATTGTTAATTCACAAAAATTGACTAGAATGTTTAATTCTGAATTAGCAGTTCAGTGTAAAATCTTAAAATTTATAATGAATGTACTTTTATGATGATTATGATCATGATTTATCACTTGGGGCTTGTATGTACACTGAGAACCTATGCACTGGAGACAAATTCCTTGTGTGTCAAATCACACTGGGCCAATAACAAATTCTATTCTGTTCTAAATACAGTACTTGGGCTTATTAGAATTGACTGGCAACAAAGGGGGAAGGACATTTTTCCAAAAGAAAAATAAAGAACTTGAATACTAAGGATACAGAGGGAAATTATTGAAAGCAAGGAAGGAAATATAATGTAATCCATAAAGTAAATCTGAAAACCAGCAGGAAATAGACATTAACATTTCATATTACAGGATACATAGAATGAGATCTCAATTAGTTATGAAATTTACTGAAAACTCTCTAATATTAATACATTTCAGCTATATCTACCTCAGAGTGTTGTGGGGAATAACCATGTATATTCTTACTTCTCTTTGGAATATGAATATAATCATTGTCATTATAATTATCCATAAACAAATATTAGTTTTTATTCTAACACGCTTGATTTCTTTCCATTCTGCTGTTTTCATAGTATTTTTTTATGCTCAAGCTTTCTAAGTTTCATTTTACCTGTGTTGTTTTTTGCTCCTTCTTTGAGACAGGCTTCTAGCACAAATGTCAAAATTGAGGTCTTTACACACTACAGAAGTTATAAACTCTCATATAATGTCTGATCTCGCATTTTAAAACTGCTTCTTCAGTAATCAAAAATATGCATGAGCAAACAAGGAAGTTGAGTTCTTGTATCTCCCTCTGAGAGATTTTCCGGCTCATTAACTAATTGCCTAACAAAGCTATTATTTAACTCTCCTACAAAATAATAACATACTTTAACTGATTTTAAAAGTCCTGCGAGGCAGTTTAATTATGAATTGATAGGTACAAAAAAGTAACAATTTAGGAATTTCCCCCTCAAGCCAGGTGTATCAGGAGAAGAGAGATTGTTAGAAATCTTTGTTGTTTGCCCAGGTTTCAACAGATCTCGGGGGATTTGTTTGTTTATTTGTTTATTTATTGAAAAGGACTCCAAATCAAAGGTGAGTGGAACACCAGGGTCATAAAAGAATATAATATGGGGATGAACTTGAAAAGCATCCAGAAGCACCAATTGGTTCAAAATACAGCAGGCCTCATGGCTTTGTGCAGATCCAAGTGTGCAAACGGGTTACGTCTTCTGTGGGAGCTGCATTGGCTGCTGATTTGCTTCCGGGTGCAATTCAAGGTGCTGATTGTCACCTTTAAATCCCTACATGGCTTGGGACCAGTTTATCTGAAGGACTGTTTCTTTAGTTATATCCACCCAACCCATCAGAGCAAGGGAGGTAAGGAATGTTGCTGGTCCCCTCTCCTAAAGAGGTACAGTTGGCGGGCTCCAGAAGAAGGACCTTCTCAGTAGTAGTTCCTCCCTTTGGAACATCATCCCTGCAGAGATTAGACTCACCTCCACTTTGACACTCTTTCATAAGTCCTTGAAGACCTAGTTTTGCCCATGCGCCTGGGGAACCGGGTGTAGTGTGAATCCTGTCAAGTGGCTCGTTTGTTGTGGTCAGAAGGGAGATTGTTCTTACTGTTTTTACCCTTTTTATATGGGTTTTTATTGTCTAAACCAGTGGTCCCCAACCTTTTTATCGCCGCGGACCAGTCAGCCTTTGATAATTTTACCGTGGCCCGCTGAGCGCGCGCAGGGGTGGGGGGCTGTTGTTCGTCAAAGAGAATTTTCCCAATGTTATTTACGGAGCTCTGCATCTTGTCTC